GGGAACATTCCCAGCCTGGCTCCAGGCTCCTCTCAGTGGGATGTGAGCATCCCTCATGTGGGTGTTCAACACATCCTGCTGGCTGCAGTAACCTGGCAATGCCCTGGTTCAGCAAAGGGATCAATCCAGATGTGGGGTGACATTTTAGGAGGATGAAACACCTCCCAGAGCAGAACCACTATGATGGACAGTGAGTGCTCTTTGTGCTTTCAGGCCCTGCAGAGTCAGTGCCTGGTTTTGCACCAAAGGATGGTCTGGGTTTCTCATCTGGAGACGTTGCTCTGGTTGGCACAGGTACTGCAGACCCAAAATCATCCCCTGTGTCTCTCTGAGTTATGAAATGAGGGCAGATGTGCCTTTGTAGGGTGGGAGAAGAGCAAAAAGATCTGTGCAATGTTGTAGATCCTTCACAATCCCCAGTTCCATGGGAGCACCAAGAACGATGTCTGACAGTGTTGCAGTTCCTGCACAGACGTTGCAGTCAGGAGTGAGATGCTTTGATGTCCCTTCCGTCCCCCAGCAGCCTGTGACCCCTGTTCTGCCCTCCAGGTGTTTTTGGGAGCCCTCCTGGCCCAGCTGCCAGCCAGCCCGTGCCCTGTGTGGCCAATGGGGATGCCCAGGGTGCCAGGGAGGGAGCAGAGGCTGCCCCAGGGAGAAGCTTCCAGAACAGCCCTTCCCATTCCTGTTGTCATGCAGGGAAGGAAGGAGAGGTAAGAACTGCCCAGCCTGGTGGGTGTGGGGGGAAGCCAGCCCTGCTCACTCACAGTCTGTGCTGGGCCAGCAGGAGTTTCACTGCAGCAGCCAAAGCCTTGGGGCTGCTGCTCCTGCTTCTGTTTTGGTGCCACCTGGGTGTGCCAGGAGCTTCCCACCGTGCTCAGATCCCTGGAGAGGGGCTGGAAATGCCCTCCCTGGCTCCCACAGCACAAGCAGATGTGGAAGGAGGGATTGGCTGCGTGGGATCAGGTCTGGTTTTCCCCAGGATGAACAAATCCAGCTCCAATCAGTTTTTCTTAAAAGCCTTTCTGAATATTTGGCCATAATCTGGTTTCTGAGGAGTGGTGCTGTTTGTTAAAAACTATTTACAGATGTAAATGGAGCAAGATTTATCTGGGTGAGCTGTGATAGAAAGTCAAAAAACATTGAAATGGAACTCCTTCTGCAAGGCTTGAGAATAACATCTGAAGAATACTGAAACTTAATGATTTGCAGTGTCTTAATTTTCTGATTTCCCCTGAACATATGAAGACTTGGCAGGATCAGATTCAAATGACTAAATGGATTAAATTTAAAAAACTGAACCTAAATTTAACTGGATTAAATTTATTTGTTGAGTTTTCCTGAGGCACAAAAAGTGTCATAAACACAGGAGAGAGATAGGTCAGATCAGAGAAGATCCTGATTCCTCATGCTGACCTTGGCCAGCATCAGGAGCTGGGGGTTCAGTTCTGGGGTAACTTACGCTTGGTTTCCTTTTTGCAGATAAAAGTGACCTTGTCAAAATCTGCTCAGGAGAAGCTGAGGAGGAGGAGGAAAGAAGACAAAGAGCACAACCATAAAGAGCAGCAGGAAGGCAAAGACTTGGAAGGGAAGGAAGAATTCCCTTGGGAAAGGATTAGACTGAGTATGAGTGAACCAGAGAAACTCACAGCAGAAAGTGAGGATGAGGGTTTGTCTTAAATGAATATTCCCTGTTCAATGCTGCTGAAGTGGAAATTAGGGCTGGTAATTCTGGGTTCTAACTTGGTTTTGATTGGTTTTATTGTATTTTGGCCATTTCCTTCTTTCCTAGGGTTTAGTCTCTGTGGGGATTTACTGACATCACCAAGAAATGGATCTTTGTCCTTAGAAAATGTGGCCTTGAACCCTTCCCTGAAAAGAACCTCCAGTTTGAAGAGGTCCAAGTGTTCATCCTTGCTGGATTCTGGTAAGCTGGGACAGTAAACTCTTAAAATATTTGGGTAGGTGGAGTGGGACAGTTTCAAAATACAGTTTATTTGTGCAGGGGACAGTCCTGAGGTGCTCTGGAAGATCAGTGCTGTGGGGCTGGAGGGGATTTAATTCCTCAGTGGGGATTCCATTGATCATTTTTCATCTATGAGGGAGTTCATGAAACATCAGAGGCTTTTAGTTGGATCAGGATCTGAAATGATACAATGCATTAACAGCAAACTGACTACCCCTGTCCCCAAACCCTTCTGGGTACATTTTGGCACTGAATTGCCTTTTAAATAGACAATAGGAAAATGTCAAGAGTAGAAGCTCCTACTGATGGTTCTCAAAGGTGCCAGGGTTTGTCTGGTGTCTCTTCAAGGTTTATGAGTTATTAGCACACTGTGTATCTGTTTTTACACTAAACAACCCCTACCTTTGTGTTGGTGACTCTTAAAAGTGAAGGTTGTGTGCAAAATTGAATTTACATGAATGAAACTCTGATTGACTGGGGCTGCCCCTGGATCCCTGGGAGTGTCCAAGGCCAGGGCTTGGCCTGCCATGGTGGTGATGCCCAGAACAGAGGCTGGGCAGAGTGAAAGGATAAAGCAGGGATTTGTTAAAAGGAAATAATTCCCTCACAGGACACGCCTTGGGCAGTGATGCTGATGCCTCCCTGGAGCAGAGCTGGGCACAGTTAAAGGATAAAGCAGGGATTTGTTCAA